GAGAATTTGGAATTTATGAAACCAGGGGAGGGAACTTGCCATTTCGCTAAACCTTGGGTGGGAATATGTGGTTTGCTCTGAATATATATTTGGTCTGGGGACCTGGACCTAACTTGGACGTGGTCTGGAAAGCAGTGTATATGAAGCTGAAGTTGATTCAGTTTCTGCATCTAATTAAAGTATGTATTGCGTGAGGATGCAGCGAATGGCGAATAATGTAACATTCTGATATCCACACTGAAAAGGAAATGAAAGATTTGCAATCACAACACCAATACTTGTATATTTTTAATCGGTCGAATAATTCCAGACTTATGGATTATTTAATTTGTAGCTTTTTCTCCTCATTTGATGGAAGAGGATTCACCGGGCTCTTCTTATCGAATTTATTTTTTGCTTTATAAACAAAGCTAACACCAACCACAAGCAAATTGTGTGGACGCAGTTCAAATGAATTCCTCTAAGAATCTTTCTAAATTCTAACCAACCAAAATCTCTTTCTATCCATTTCAGAATACCACTTTCATGGAATACACATACAGTACAGGGTTTAGATTTTAGAATGTACAAGACTAGAAAATCTTACACTCTTAACCATTTATTATTTAATATTATAGCTTTGCTAACTCATTTAATTTTGTAATATTTTACAAAATTGCACCCCTGAAACTCAAAAAATTGACATTTTACCCCCACTAAGTATAGAAACTATCATGGGTCACACTCCTTCCCGTTATTTTTAGACATTTTACTCGTTAGTTGTGTTGATGCTGGATTTTAACACCAACGACCTCGCACGTGTAAAGTGCTAAGAAGGTCTTAGAAATTACACGTGATTAATTAGGGGATTTGGTTATGAGTTGTTGTTTTCACAATTGCATGCAAAGACTTAAAATAAAAGAGACGATGAGAATTTTTATAGTGGTTTGAATGCTTAAAACTATTCTTATATCCATTGTTTTCTTTTATATGAATGTTCTTGGTGATTAGCTAAGTTACAGGAGGTCGCAAACAGCGAACAAAATTACAATAGCTTCGTATTCAGAGAGAATATTAAGCCAATTTCTTTTCCGTAGGTTCTCTTTGCTATTTGTTTTGTTGAATTTAGAGAGTCTGATCTCGATTTTATGAAGGGGAGGCCTCTATTTATAGTTGCTGAGTTTAAGGTAATGATTACAAGTCTGTAAGTGATAGGTGCCGTGCAAGTCTTTCCTTGCGTTCCATTAGTTGATAACTTAGAAAATATCTTTAAATTATATGAGGCTTGGACAGGTGTGTGAATCAAATTCATTCACAGACAAAACTTGAGTCGGCTTGGTTGGTTACAACTATATTCTTTTTATCTTGGGGCGACGTGGCAGATTCTAGGTGGCGCAAAACCTTCCTGAATTTTGATTGGTACTCGCCGATGTAAGCTTACGTTAGTCCTAATTTTTCTTTTAGACATAACAAGTTGTTTGAGTTTAGGGGTGTAGATGCAGGAGTAAAACATATTTCATATTATTCAAATACATGAAAAACGTTTTTTTCAACCCTACATATCTCAAGTGTTGTAACTCGTGTGCTGTTTCACATGTAGATCCATTTCACATGTTTTGTGTTTTACAGATTACACTAGTCCCTCGCCCTCTCCTTCCTTTGTCACTTGTTAAATGGATCTATTACGATTACATGCAACTTATGATTATCATTATTCTTTAGTTTAATAAATTGACAATTATTGCACCGCATATTTATCATATCATCCACCTGGATTCGATTTATTTATTTTAATTCTAAGTTATTTAATTATTTTTAACACATTAATTTATTTGATCTACATTATTTATATCATTAATAAATTAATAAGTGTAATTTAATATATTAATTAGAAGATAATTAAGGTAAAGTGGGAAGCCAAATATATAACAGTAAATGAAATATTCCCACCTAAGGTTTGACGAAATCCCAGTTGGTACCCCAAGTTTCATTTATTCCATATTCCCACCCTTAAAATAACAATGTTAACAATTTTTAGGGTAGTGAGGGTGCAATTATCATAATGCCCTTAACCCTAAATTAATAAATTATGTTTTAACCCCTAAATTACTAAAATTATAAAATTAACCATCTTATTTTCAAATTACTTCAATTATACCCTCAGTGACAACGCACTCTCTCGGTTTTTACTGGATTTGGGCTATTTCCGATGGCGTTGAACCCCCTGGTCACCTCCATCACCTTCCCCATTGTCCGTCGTACAAAACCCCTCTGGTTCTTGAATCATTGGCCCCTCCAATCGCTGACGCCGTTAGGCTTAGGTTTTCGTTGTTCTTCGCTGGATTCCGGTCGATTCTGGTGAGGAAAACCCAATTGGACATCACCACTGTGACCAGCGTCTCCAAATCTACAAAACCCCTATGTCCCTAGCAACCGTTTAGTGGCCATTTACCGGTGGAGACTGACGAAAACCAGTCGCATGTGGCGGTTGTCGTGGCTGGCGATCAGCGAGTGATGAGGGGTTGTGAAGGGTAAGGTTTTGTAGAGGGAACGATGAGGGTTTGAATGGTGGTGACAAGGGTGATTTTGGGTGGAAGAATCGTTGGAAAAGGGAAAAAAAAAAAAAATCGGCGGTGATGTTGGCTAACATGCGTGGAGCTTTGTTAGGGGCGACGATTTGCTAATGTGCGCCTCCTTTGCAAAATTATCAATTTACCCTTAAACCGTTATATCTAACTATTTTTCGTTACTTTAAGGGTGAGAATCTGGAATAAATAGAACTTGGGGTATCAACTGGGGGTCGTCAAACCTTGGGTGGGAATATGTTATTTACTCAATATATAATACCCTTTTCATCATTTGGGCTTTTTATCTCAACTGAGGCCGAGTAAGGTAGCTGAACAGCCTCACCTTAAATCAAGGACTCTATTTAATAACCTTAAAATAAATGTAATTATAAACTAATTAATGGTATGTATTAGATACTAACTATGCTTTTTTGCTTTCTACCAGTTATACACAGTAAATATTTTAACAAGAGGATTTTCTTTTTCTTGTTCTTTTCAGCTTTGTGAACATGCATTAGTCTTTGAAGTACCTTTCAAAGTTACATTAGAATTAATCAATTTCGTTTAATAGCATCCATTGAGTAATAGATAATAAATGGGTTAATTACAATAACCACCCCTGAAGTTTCAAAAACTGAAAGCTAGATGATAACTTTGGTTGTAAGGTACAAAAACCACCCTTTAAATTTGGGAAATTACTCAAAGACCACATTTATTGACTGAATATGTTCGTCTACCGTTAACAAACACTAAAATATCCATCATACCTTTATTTTCATATCTTACTTAAAAACAAGAGAAATTATATATTATTTAGCCATATTTTAGGGTGGGAAATGAAAACTAACCTCAAAGTGGAAAATATCTTAAAAAATAGTCAAATTCAATTTTCCTAGTTTTGACGGATGAAATTGCCCCTATCCGCATTTATCTACCTTCTTCAAAACCCGTCTAACCCATTCTCCATTAACTATAATACCTACCAAATCACTACATTTTTCGATTTCCTAGAGGAGATATTGTATGATTTTATTGACTCTTGGGTGGTTAAAAGATTTACAAAAGATATGTTGGTTTTATTGAGATCTTTGAAAAAAAAAAAAAAAACCCATTGCAGGGGGTACTGTAAAAATAAAAACTATTGTAGGAAAAAAAACCAAGGTTTAGGGTTTAGAAGTGATCGATAAGGAGATATCTTATAATACTTACATTATTTATAATTTTTATATCAGTGACCGATAAGGGGGTATCGATCACTAATAGGACCCATAGGGGGTATCTAGTTTTCCTATTGGTGACTAATAGGGGGGTATCCGTCACAGGTAGGACCTATAGGGGCATTAAATTTTCTTCTAGATAAAATTACGTTAGGTCACCAATAATGATGATACCCCCCTTATTGGTGGGTATCCGTCATTTCTCATCATCTCCAATCTTGGGACTGCTCCATGACCGATAGCATCCATACCAACCGATAGACAGTCCCCATGACATTTGAAATAAAGCTGCAATGTTTAAAGTGGATGACAAGTTTATTATATAGAGCTTTGGCAATGGTGGTTTTTCCAATTCCACCCATACCATAATCCTAAAATCCAAACACCATTGGCTTTAACATCTATAATCTTCATCAATTCTTGTAGACGAGAATCGAGTCCAACAGGATATTTAGCCACACCTAATGGAGCATTACTCAATTTAGACAAAACCTTCTTGACTAAAGATTGAATTAACTGTCGCTCAACCTTGACAATAATATTCATCATGATCAAAAGAAAATTAGAGAGGATATGACAATAATATTCATAATCAGAAGAAGAAAATTACAGAGGACATAATTGTAATGACAAATGAGATACTAAAGGAGATGGTTCAAACAATGTGGAAGTAATTTGTTCAGTCCCAAGGACACCCTTTTGGGATTACTTTAAAGGTATTCATTTGAACCTTTACAACATTTCTATTTTCTGATGAACGGTGTCTAACATTAATCTTTTTATTAAGCGAGCAAATGTGCATATGATAAGCAATAAAAGATGGTGATAGTGGATTAAACATAATTTAGAAGGCATTAAAGAAATGCTCAGGATCCCACTTTAGATTAAAAATTCTCATCAAGTGGATTAATTTAGTAAACATAAATGAGAAATTAGTGAATTCTGCGCAAGTAACTTCCTGATCGGTGCAATGCTCTATACCAAAACCCAAAATAAATAAAAACTGTATTTCTAATTTACTAGAAACTCAAAAGTCTCCTTTAGTCTTCCTATACAACTAACACTTGAGAAATTAAATAAACAAACAAAGAAATTGAGAATTCAATGGAGAAATTAAAAGAAAAAAAAAAAAAACACTTGAGAAATTAAATAAACAAACAAAGAAATTGAGAATTCAATGGAGAAATTAAAAGAAAAAAAAAAAAAAAAACCAAATTCTAGAATCCTAGCCAGAGATTTAATCGGCCTTTTCCATAGCTCTCCTCCATCGACCAACCTGATCTTCACCAAACCTCTGCTCCAACTTCACAAAATCCTCTTCAAATGGGCCTTTCTGCCCACTGACATCCGAAGGATCAATCCTGAAAAACACCGGAAGCATTAGCTTCTTGTACTCTACTATTTTGGCAAGCTCCTCAAGACACCATCTTGAAGAAGTATACTCATTTGAAATTACAGCTATAGCAGCTGCAGAATCCTGGATGGCATCCACAAGGCTCGGAGCGATCTCCTCTCCTCTCTCCAGCTCCTCGTCGTCGCGAAATGTACGTATACCATTTTTTGTAAGTTCTCTGTACAGAGTTTCCGTGAAATTGTGGCGAGTGTCTTCGCCTCTAAATCTTAAAACACGTCCCAACGGCCAACGGTATCTGACTGAAGGTGTTGAAGCGATTTCATCATCCCCGCCGATCAAAAGTTGTTCCGTATGGATGGGATCGGACTAGATGTTAATCCTCTTTCCAACTTTAAACTTTTAACATTTTCAAAATTCTAAAAATTTCCCTGGATTTGTCAGAATAATAGTTCATTGTAATTGTACTATGTTATTTTTTAATAGCCCCCTATAAACAACATAACTCAAGCAAACATAAACTGCAAAAGCTCAAGCATAATAATAAGTTTTGAACACAAATCACACTCCCAGAACACTTTGAAGTTTGAAGAATCAAAACAACTCAAATGGCTCGAAGAAACTTTGGTATTTTATATGAGGGTAAAAACGGAAACTGTCATGTTATGGTCAATACTCAATATACTCTATTGGGGATTGGTCCGCAATTTTGTGGTTAGTTTAGTTAAAATAAATTATCATAGAAGTCAAATAAGTTAAAAAAGGGTATTCCCTCAAATTCCCCTAAAACTAACCCAACTGTTGAGTTTGCTTTGCATAATTAATTAATTATTTCGTATGAATAAAATAATATTGAAATCAATTGTACAAATTGAAAGAAAAATAAATCGGAATCGGAGATCAGAGAAATCAAATGGCTTCGCAACTAATTGTTCTCCTTTTCCACGTAATTTGGCTCTCTTCAGCGTCTCTTCCAGCCTCAGCTTACCAACCGTAAGAATCTCTCTTATTTATAATTTTATGGATCTGTACAGTATAGCAATGTCAGGTGATGAATATCGAGTTTAATTTCGCAGTGAAAGCGGAAGCACAGAGAGAAGCGTTGGGCAGAGACTTCTTTTGGGTTTCAAAGAAACGCCTAGTGGAAGCAATCGCACTTTCGATTGCTCTCCTTCTGGTCCCTGCGTTCCCTGTCTCTACTCTGAAAAGGTTTCTTTTTTTTTTTTTTTTTCCTTCAGTTTTATTTAAACATCAATTATTAGGTTCTTTTTTTTTCAATGAACTAATTTTTTTTCGCATTAATTTACATCTATGCTCTGATTATGATTACCTAATTTAATTGAGCTATGGAATCTGCAATTCAAGGTCTATTGTATTCGTTTTTATGTGGATGCTAGTCTCTTTTGAAGTTTAGGCTTATTTAGTTATATTACAATTCACAGATTCCTTGCAGTAAATAAATGACATATTGGGAAATTGCAAACCCTTTGTGTTTCAATTTTGGAGATATTTTCTTGAATGTATATGTTGGCAACGTAGTTGTTGTTTAACTTGTTTTATTTAGTAGCTTTATATTACATAACCAAGCGGGATCATGTGATTTTAGTCTGTGATCTATCAATGTCTTCCATCATGTGATTACTTTTTTTTTGTATGTCAACTTGGTTATAGCTTTATTTGTTTCCTGTAGAGTGATGACAAATATCGATGCAGTGAGACTGGCTATCGTATTCCTTTGAAATGTGTAGAAATTGAAGAAGGTGCCAAGAATGAAAATGAGCAAAAAACTAAAGAGAGCCGCTCTACTCTTGAAACTTCTGCTGACAGCATGAAACAACATGTAATGTTACATGATGCAGGCGGAAATGTCACTTCAGTAAAACATAGAAGTGTACTGGATGATTCATCCACATCAGAGGACAAGTCACAGGCATTTATTACTTACAGAAGCTGTATACCAGCAGTAAATGAAGAGAAGTTGTCAGTAATTGGTTTTGAGGTATGTATCTTTTTCTTTCCTCTCTTTGATTGAGATAATGAGTACTCTTTTTGGGCTTGATTACTTTGACGAAGATTGCACATGACTATAGTGTTCATTCTGGAACTCTGAGATTTTCTGGGCAACTTTTCATTCTATATCTTCTCATTGCAAGCAAATTTTAATGATGTTGAATTTTTGTGGTCAATTTTTCCTATGCAAAATGAATTTTTGCTCTTATACTCATTGCTTATATTTGTTATTTTTCTCTTCCACTACATCTAATTGGGATAGAATAAAAGTAGACCTATTCATTCTACCTCCATTTCTGTCTTATATTTGTTTTTTCCTTGTTTTCTCTCTTTTGAGATTATAAATGCTTGCGAGTTTTAAAATATTTAGTTGTAGAGACTTTCAATTCACAATTTTTTTCATTAGGGTTTGATTACGTTATATCTCCTTAAGGCGGGGGGAGGTTGGATTTTAATTATTTTATTGGAAAGAGAGTAATATTTCATTTCTATTGGTGAAGATTCCAATTTATTGATTTTAGTTTTGCTTCTTGTAACAGTGTTAATAGATCAGTGCTGTTGCAAGATCTGGTCCTAACCACCTAGTTTTCTGCTCACTGCAGTAGTGCAGTGAACTTTAAGCTCTGTATTTTGTGCTGCATGATTCTTTCAGTGTTTTTGAGTCATGGGCGTTATCTATGAATAACTTTTGTCTGCAATTTTAGGAAATACTTAGTGGGAAGCCTTGACTATGTTGCTAATGAGGCAATCATCTGGACTTGTGCCAATTTCTCTAATAAGATAATAATGGGAGTGATGAACGTATGTTGAACCTGTAAGAGTCTTTATTAGGGAGATGGAAGTTCTCCATTTTTTTGTTGCTTTGAGCATGGTGGCCTTTATTATCTGGCTTTTGTTAGTTTCATTCTTTGTAGATCTTGCTTCACCATACTCTATTCTCCATCTCTGTATTAGGTGGTTCAAATTATTTAGGTGAGACGCTAGCATTCCTGAAATTCATTTAACTTGTATATGTTAACTCTTTGGATTTGTTAGAATTGAATTCAGTGATTGCAAGGCTATGTTGATTCATATCTTTTTAAACTGCTTTGGACAGAGTGTAGTATTGTGTTTGTTGCTCATTAGCGGGTCAGTTGTCTACTTCAGAAGAAAGCGGACTGCTGTCATGCCAGGAGTGGGGGCAGGGAGGATCCAGACTAACTCTAGGTTTTAATCAACTCTCTAGTATTTCAAGCTTGCTCATTTATGTAAAGTCAATTTCTAGTGATTGTCGAGCTACATAGTATAGCATCGGGGGCAAATTGTTAATCGATACCATATGCAATCTTCAGTATGTTGCTCTATAATTGTATTATTGATTGTTTAGTAAAATTATTCTTTATTTATTTGTTTTTGCAACACTGGGATGAATTTTTGTATACCATATGCAATCTTCAGTATTTTGCTCTTCAATTGTATTATTGTTCGTTTAGTGAAATCATTCTTAATTTTGTTTTTGCAACACTAGGGTGATTTTTCGCATACCATATACAATCTTAAGTATTTCGGTCTTCAATTGTATTCTTGTTCGTGCAGTGTATCGTTCTTTATTTATTTGTTTTTGCAATACTAGGATTAATTTTTGCTCAAAAGTAATAGAGTTATTGATGCTATACAGTACACTCATGCTTATATATATATATATATATATAGAGTAAAACCTCTCTATAGTGATACTTTATATAGGAATAAACTCTACATAGTTATAAAAAATTCTAGTCCCGACTTGTGATAGTTATAAATAAGAATAAACTCTTCATTGTAATAAGTTATAATTTTTTTAATTTTCACCTTAAGGAAAGTCGCCTCCACATAGTAATAATTATCTGTATATTACAAAAATATATATTTTATGTTACATTAAAGGTTTAAGATGAAATAAAATATTTATCTAAAGTTGTTTGAGATAATGATTTATGCTTTAGAGTTGTTACAACATCTTTTAATCTGTGAGTACGTAATAACTCGATAGCATGGATACCTTCTTGTTGAAGCCAAAATATTTTTAGTTTCTCAAGCATGTTTAGAGCTTCATAGTACGAAACTTTTTGTATTTTTATACTATCATCCTCAAGATTATTTCATTGCTTTTCTTATTAAATTGCGGCAATGATTTATTCTTTAGTTAAAATATATATGATTTGTTACTCATTTGAATGATCGGGGAAGACATTAATATTCATTCGATTAATACAATGAAGTTGTCGAATCTGATCACTCAATTCTGCGATCACTCTTTTATTCTCCTCATTCACTTCATTTGTAACTTGTAATTCGTCAACATCGGAGGTCTTAATTTTGTAGTGTTTAAAACCATTGACAATTGTCTGTGGCTTCACATCAATTGAGCATGCATCAATTGCATTTACAGTTCCGTCAATGACAATTATTTTTGCTAGTTCCAAGACATGATCTTCTATCCGGTTCAAAAGTAGAAAATTGAAGTGTTGAATTGAAATCCTAGTACTACTAAAACATGAATTGAAATCCTATTATTGTAATACTAAAACATAAATTATAAAATAAGAAATCAAAACAATAATTTTTGTAACTACATCTTCATTAAGTTAAAGCTTCTTCATAGTAATAAAATTAGTTCATCCCACCATTATGACTATAGAGAGGTTTTACTGTATATATATAAGTAAAATCTCTTTATAGTGATATTCGATATAAGAATAAACTACACATAGTCATAAAAAATTCTATTCTCAATTTAGGATAGTTATAAATAAGAATAAACTCTACATTGTAATAAGTGATAATTTTTCTAATTTCCGTCTCAAGGAAAGTTGCATTCACATAGTAATAATTATATGTATATTGTAAAAAAATATCACATTAAATGTTTAAGATGAAATAAAATATATCTAAAGTTGTTTGGGACAATAAATTATGCTTTAGAGTTGTTACCACGTCTTTTAACTTGTGGGTACATTTTTCGTTAGCATGGACATATTCTTGTTGAAACCAAAACATTTCTAACTTCTCAAGTCTGTGTAGAGCTTCTTAGTACGAAACTTTTTGTATTTTCGTACTATCATCCTCATAATTATTTTTTTTCTCTTCTTGTTTAATTGTAGCAATAATTTATTCTCTTGTTAAAGCATACATGACTTGTTGCTTATTTGGATGATTAAGAAAGACATTAATATCCATTTGATTAATATAGTGAAGTTATCTAATCTGATCATTCAATTCTACAATGACTCTTTGATTCTCTTCATCCATTTCAATTGTAATTTGCAATTCATCAACATTGGAAGTTTTAATTTTATAATACTTAAAACAATTGACAATTGTCTGTGGCTTTATATCAATTAACTATGCAACAACTGCATTTACAATTCCATCAAAGACAATTATCATTATTGGTTTCAAAACACGATCTTCTATCTGTTTTAAAAGTAGACAATTGAAACGCTAAATTAAAACCATAATATTATTAAAACATAAATTAAAATTCTAATATTGTACTACTAAAACGAAAATTATGAAATAAAATTTTTTTGTAATTACACATGTATTAAGTTATAACCTTCTCTAATAAAATTAGTTAGTCCTACCATTATAACTATAAAGAAGTTTTGCTATATATATATCCATCACCTTATTTTCTCCTTTCTTACCCCGACGGAAAGCAGAATATGTAACTTCGTTTATATTTTAATTAAAACAAAGAAGAGCCATAGTTGGTCACACTGAATGTTGGAGGAGGGAGCCCGTTATTCATTCCTGCATATAGAAGATCAACGGGCAGTTGTTCCGTTTCCAACCCATGGGTAACGGAAATGCTTTTAACGAANTCTATTCCTTTAGAGTTCCAAGATGTTTCATTTGACTTTATTCAACATAATTGGTAAGCTTCAACTACCTAGCTTGGCAAGATTTTTTTGCAAATTTTAGGGATTTTGATTTTCAGCATTGATGATTTTGGAATACGAGATGCGTTTTTCATTTTGTATAGTTTATGAACGTTTGGGTTCTAGGGACAACTTGTCCTTTTTTGTGTGGACAACTATCCATTGTTGTATACTTTTTTATTTTAATAGAGTATCTTAGTTTCCTAGGAAAGGGGAAAAAAACAATTGGAGAGTGTTAGACCACCCATACACAAGGTTTATAAATTGAAAGGCAAGAGTAGGAATAAGCATTAAGGTGCAATGAGGGTGACGTGACAATGAATGTGGAGAGTGTGGTGAGTTTGTTATGAGTGTGGAGAGTTTGTTATAGGAAAGTACACGTGGCTGATATCAGTGGTTACAAAATAGAATAATTAGTATATAGAGAGAAGAGTGTGAGGCAGGTCATTTTTATCAAGGAATATCTTCATAGGACAGATTGGGAGGCCCCCAGCTCCTCGAACTACTAGGAACCTGTTGTTGAATGAATTGCTCTGTCAAGGGATAGTTCAATCCTAATTAATACTATTTCAGTTCTTTTCAGATTGTGCAAATATTTGCTATTGTGTGTGTGTTGCGGTTGTTGTTTGATTTTTTTTTCAGGGGAGTTCCATTAGTTTGGTATCAGAGCTTGGCTGAGGAATGGTCAAATCGAAGATGGAGAACAGAATGGAAAAATGGAAAAAGAAATGAAATCAGTGAAGGAGGACATGAGCTCAGTGAAGATTGATGTGGGTAGCCTTAAAGAATACCTGACCGAGATGCGAGAGTCAATGAGGATGAGGGAATCATGATTCTCGGAGGACAGCGGAGATAGTGGGAAAAAGGAGAAGAAAGGCAAGAAACTTGAGCTTCCAATCTTCAATGGAGAGGATCCATTTGGGTGGACATTCCGAGCAGATCGCTACTTTTCCATTAATAGATATGGATCATTGGAGATGGTTGAAGTCGCCACTGTGTGTATGGAGGGAAGGGCATTGAACTGGTACCAATGGGTTGAAGTGTGAGAACCTTTCAAGTCATGGGAAGAGTTTAAGGCAACTTTAATTGCTAGCTTTCGTCCTTCGTTCCAAGGTTCTGCACACGAAGCTCTGGTGGCACTGAAGCAAACTTCCACGGTGACTGAATACAGGGAAGAGTTTGAGTCTCATACGGCACCGTTGAAGGATTTGGGGGAAGAATTGTTGATAGGAGTCTTTATCAATAGGCTTAAAGAGGAGATTAGAGCTAAGCTAAGATTGCTGAGGCCCAACTCTCTTCAAGATGTGATTGAACAGGCCCATCAGGTGGAGGAAAAGAACTGGGTCCTTGAAAAATGTCGGCCTAAATTTTTTAAAACCCAAGGAATAAAAGAACATTATACAAGAGTGTCCAACAGCCCAAACCTGACCCAACCCGACCCGCTTGGTGGCCCAATTCAACAAAACCTCTAGATCCCATTCACGTTGCGTCATCTCGCGCACCAAAAAGGAAAGAGAGAGCACCGGAGATTGGAGCTTCGAGCTTCAGAGGCGGAACTGACGGAAATTTCCTACGACTTTCAGAGGCCGATATCCAATATAAGAGGGAAAGGGGACTTTGTTTCGTTGTGATGAAAAGTTTAGCCCCAATCACCGCTGTAAGAGTAAATCATTACAGATTCTGTTGGCATGGGAAGACGATGACTCTGAGAAGGATGAATCCACTCTGGAAAGTGAAGAAATTTCCAACCCAGAAGGTAATGCTTTAGCCCTGTCTATGAATTCCATTGTGGGTATAACTTCGAACAAAACCTTGAAGGTTAAGAGGCAAATTGGGAACACAAATGTGGTGGTGTTGGTCGACAGTGGGGCATCCCATAATTTTATTTCACAGGAGTTGGTGTGCAGGCTTGGCATTTCGGTTGAAAAGGGAAAGTTGTTTGGGGGTGATGGTGGGCAATGGAGTCACGGTGACGGGGGAAGGGGTGTGTCAAAGGGTTCCTCTGGAGGTACAAGGGATCCGAATTATGCATAATTTTTTTCCTTTTGAGTTAAGAGGTGCTAATGTTGTGTTCGGTGTTACATGGCTGAGTTCTTTAGGAGATGTGTGTGCCAACTGGAAGAAGTTGACAATGAAATTTGAGGTGGATAGGGTCAGAGTTAGTTTACAAGGAGACCTATCTCTAATGAAGTCAATGGTTTCCCTAAAATCCATGTTACGATCCATTAACAACACAGGGGGAGGGTTTTTGGTGGAATGTTGTTCAATTGAGGGAAGTTTAGTGTCAAAGGGAGAGGATGTCAATCCTAGAGTTCAAGCAGTTTTGGATCAGTATATACACCTTTTCGACCAGCCATCCAAACTTCCTCCACACCGTACTCACGACCACGCCATAACCCTTAAAGAAGATGCCCCACCCCCAAACATTAGACCCTATAAGTACCCTTATTTCCAAGAAAATGAAATTGAAAAGTTGGTGGAAG